AAAAGCAAAGCATAGGCATATGAACAAGCTGCATTGCAAGAGTTGTGCTCCCTTTCAGTAGAACATACTAACCTATTAGATGTGTTACAGAACTGAAATTCTAATGATCAGATGCTACATATATGTGTGTGTATATATTATGCTCATACAAATGTCTTTTCCTTGTCTGGGCTTGTGTGTCTGAACAGTGATGGTGGGGGAATCTGCTGATGGGCTTAAGAAATCCTTGTGAAGAATTAACAAAAAAGAATTATGATTAATTTCAAGACTCTCCTTTTACAAAAATTGCTTGGGAAGAGTCAGTGCACAGCCTGTTTCATACCACCTTTCATGATCTACTTGTTCTTTTTTGTTCATAAAACTGACATCAGTAGCATCAGTTGCTTGCAAGTCAACTTGCCTGACAGCTGCTTGGCAGTAATGACCCCTCTGCAGCCGATTTGGTCCTCTGTTGCTGTCGTTGCTGTCTTTCCTGTTCAGCAGTCAGTGCTGTTGCTTGTCACTCCAAGTTGGCCATGATGTGAAACTGAGCTTAAGAATATCCTTCAGAATAGGCAAAGTGTGTGCACTAACAATACGTGCTACTTCCATACACTTTTACTGTTCGCTTGTAATGTAGACGCTTTCTTTTGTGGATTTTCTTCTTTTTGCTGGTGACCAGTGTCTCACTACAGATACAGCTGGCCCTGCTCCATTCCAGTTTGAAAGAATGGCAGTCTGGTAAGATGCAAGTCAGCACAAAGATTGTTTGAAGCAAATTTAAAAAACATATTTGAGACACCAATCTCAAATACAAAGTGTGGATTAAAATGAATTATTGGTTTATAGTGCTGTGAATTGGGAGGCTCTAAATTGCAGTAGAACATTTCTGTTGTGTGGAGCATGCTGTAAGTATTTCATTGAAGTCATTGACTTAGATTTTTCTATAGCTTGCTACCACTGTTGCAGAATTAGCCAGCTTCCTATGTGAAACATCAAAAGACCGTATCCTCTGTATTTAAACAGCTGGTAGGCTCTTGTCAAGTATTTGCGGCTATGCTTGACCATGGCAGTAGGAAGGAAAGGGACAAATATGACTATTTTGTGAGTAAATTGAATGGGAACTTGAAAATGCTGGGTTTTTTGATGTGAATACCTGGGCAGAGGTTCTTCTGCTTCCAGTTGCCTGCAGGAACAAACAGGCAAGTGGGAGCTGGCAGCTGTGGGCCCTCGAGGACGGCAGGAGTAGGCTGCAGGCCAAGCAAGCTGTTTGGGTTGGCCGCAGTCACTTGTGGCGCTCGGGTCACGGGGCCTCTGGGACTTGCCCTAGTTCGGGACCGGATCTGGGCTTATCACGTGGCGGGAGCAGTAGTAGGGCAGGAGGCAACGCGACTTGGACCTCAGCTTGCTCCGCGGGACCTCTGCGGGGGGTCCTGTAGCCATGGTCATGCTGTGACACGAATGCTGCACGCGGGGGTCCAATACCTTAAATGAACATTTCTCATAGACTTTGGGGGTTATGGCAGAATATGTGCCAACCCTGTGATAAGTTAAGAGCTTACAAAAACCTTCCATGTAAAACCCATATTCTGTAAAACACCCCGCTGCTAGGAGGTGTTGTGGGAATGACATGTTTCTGCAAGAGGGTAGTAATTCCTGTGTTTTTAGAGAAGTGGTAGGATATGCAGATGACACTCTTGAATGCCACCGAAGTTGGTTGGGCAGAAAGAAGCCTTTGGTTGCTGCGTAGTGAATAATTTATGGAGAGCAGTCAGCTCGTATAGCCTAGCAATCTCTTGGAATATGATTTACTCTGCGTGGAGGAGCTGTTACAGTACCTTGAGCTGATGACTAATACAAATATTGCCACAATCAATGAGACGATAGTTTGCCAACCAAAGCATGGCCTCTTGGAGAAGCAGGGGAGGTGCTAAAACGAAAGGAAAAAAATCCCAACCTGCTGGCAAATGTAGCTGTGTAAGTAAATGTTTATGCAGGCAGGAGCCATTCACATGTCCCACTCGGTGTGTTAGCTCGTACCACGGTGCGGAGCGGGAGGCGCCCGCAGGGAGCAGCGCCCGCCGCCCCGGCCGGGCGGGCAGGGCCAGGAGGCGGCGGGAAGCGCAGGAATGTGCGCGCGGTTTGTGCGCGCCCGAAACGCGCTGCCTCCGAGGGCTCCTGTCAGCCGAGGCAGATGAAAAATGGATTGTTCCACTCCTAGTAAGAAGCTGCTTTCCTGGAGGTGGCTGCTGGCAAACACGGCCTGGATCGCCTTGGCGGGATTGGGAATGGCTTTTGGGAGCCGTGAATGCCGTTTCACTACATTGCTTTTTAGTATCTGAAGTGTGGTGTTTCTAAGTATTTACTGATAGGCTTCAATACTCATACATTTCTTGGAGCATATCTTTTTTTTAATATGCAGTTTTTGTATTTCTGACTTACAAACTCATTTTTTCTCATTGTGCTCCTGCCCCCCCAGTGTATTTAGAACTGCATATTAGAGATGGCCCATGGGCTGTCTGAAAAAGGGAAAAATTATTGTAAGTGTAGATGTTTAGTGGTGATAGTGCACTTAGAAACTGAAAATACCATTTTCAAGATGGTCAAGCTTGAGTTGTGATCAGACTCTGACCCTTTTTCTAGGGCTAGTCTTGCAGCAGGTTGTGGTCAGATGTCTACTTAGGGTATATGCACAAATCAGTTCTGTGATATGAACCTCAGAGCAATGACAAATGCTAATTATTCAAGAGGAACTAGAAACAATGTGTTGTACTTGGAGAGGATGAGTTAGAGCAGTAGTTCATAGTGTTTCAAGTGGTGACGGATCCATAGTAAGATAGTGTAGGGCCTGGCGTAGTCAGGGAGCTGCTGCAGATGGTGTGAGAACATGATCTCTGAACCTGGAAATAGTCCTGAGGGCTTGTCCAGCTCACCATAGGGGTGTTTTGGACTGGAATTGGGGTGCTGGTCTGGGGTGTAGTTAGTGTAGCCAGTAGGTAGTGGCCTCATTAACACTGATCTGGACTGCTGGAGAACTGGCGAGGTGAATGTGAAGAGAGCGCATGGTCCTTTTTCTATTCCAGCTTTTTAGAAGAGCCAGGGTCTGGAAGTAAGGACTGTGAAGGATGTGGTAGGTCACAGTTTTGCATGACTAACCACACAGCAACATGGTTTCATGCAAGGCGTCATGCTCAACACATCTTAACATGTTTATTCACTGTAACAGTGGTTGCCACAGATGAAGAAAAGATGGATTTGGGGTGATTTGAGTGTTCAGTGTCAAAAAGGCAGTGCTACCCTGATCCATCCCTGAGCCATCCACCTGTGATGGGTGGCTGTCTGCTAAAGTCCATGTCTCCTGGTCAGAATTTTGGGGCTTCATATTGTCTTCCTCTTGTTTTGGCTTGGATAAATTTTTGGATTTTGGAGCGCGAAATCTTCAGCTTGCCTGTGCTGCGTATTTCTGGAAGATAGCCCGGGTACCCGCACCTCATTGGCTCGCTGACAGACACCTTCCCCCCGGTGCGAGCGGCTAGTCGGATGCGCTCTGCGGAGAAGGACGCAAAATAGGCGAGCTGCAGCCTGCTGTAAACAATGCACTGACTGCTGCTGTTCTAATCCCTTGAATGCTGGACCTGCCTGCTCCTGAGCAGTGCATTTCGGGATCTGCGAGAAGATGCATGCCGTTACGGAATGGATCTAAATTGCCCCTGGATGTGTTTTTGGAAGGGGCCAAGAGGACCGGTTATTACTTGCATGGACGCTGCACATCCATACAGACAGATGCTGGAGTGGAGCTGCTGCTGCTGAGCTGGGACCACCAAACCTTTCCGCAATCCCGGTGCGCAGCACAGTGACTTTGCTTTGCAAGGGGGGCCCGAGAGGGGTGTGACACAGGATTTTTTTTTTTTCTCGGTATTGCGGTGGCTTGTGGTCTTGCATTTCGCTCTGCAACCCCAGGAGCGCACGTTTTCCCCACCTCCATCGCCGGCAGCAGGCGAGGTACCATGCGTGGGCTGAAGGCGGCCGCGTGAAGGGAGGCGAGGGGAGGCAGACATGTACCTTCTGGACAGCAGCGAGCCACCGGCT